CTATCCCAACATCATCCTGCTATGAATTTCTTTTTTCAAAAAATACCCTTTTCATACGTCTGAGATGACTTGCCATCCTTTTTTTTATGGAAAATGTGTAAAAATAGTTATGTTAACTCAGTATCAATTTAAGTCCTTTGGCAAACCATGCACAACATTTTAAGTCAAAATGTTTTCCAAACAGTTTCATTATAAGAAGCTTTAAAGCTCTGATTCCCCTCAGTGGTGTGCTTGCAACCCCAAGTGTATTTCATTCCAGGGTAATAAGCAATATATTCAGAATTTAGAAATATTTTTCTCTGGGAAAGCATTGCCTGTGAAATACATGGAGCAGTGTATCAGAAAGAACATAAACAGAATCCAAGAGATAAAAAATGGTTTGGTTGAGCTCTGTTAATTGCTTGTTATTTCTTCTCCTGGCACCATACAAAACAATCTGCCCATGTTGCTTCCAAAATGACTAGATGAATGTTTCCATAGTCAGCACTATCAAAAGGATAACAACAGACTGAAAAAAAGGAAAAGAAGCACAGTTTGGGGAGAAAAGTGGAATCACTGATGATAACTAGATAAAATAATAACTTGATGATATTCATTAATGTAATCATTTATTTATTCTTTCATTCATATGAAAGTCATTCAGTATTAAAATATAATATATCAAGATATGATTAAATACTTTACATTCCAATTACTATTTAGGAGTATATTAAATAGCAGATTCTAAGGCTAGATATTTTAGAATCAACAGCAGTAAGTTGCACTGAAAAGTTCAAAACTAATGTTGTGAATCAATTGTGGTGACTTCCATTAAGTCATAAAAATTAATGTAACTCCAGAGAACTGAATAAAAGATAAATTTATTCCAACATTTCATAAAAAAAACCCAAGCAAATTACAAGACTTAGAGATCATGGTGTCAGGTCAGCTGAACTTGAGTCCTCTTGCAGTGCAGGGCCTGTTCTTGAATGTATAGATAGCAAGATGAAGAAGGAAAAGAAAAAAACACCTGAATTTGTTGATTTAGAAAGCAAATTCTACATGGCAGAATAGTTGGTATCAGGGTTACTAAGCACAGATTAACACTGATGATGATATTAAGTAGATTATAAAATAAGAATAAGAAGTATTGTTATCAGTTCAGGATCAGGAAAGGATGTAGCACAATAATGTGTGAAATTCATGTCATCTGGCTTTGGGACATGTTTTCTACATTCTGTTTATTGGTTAACTTGGGAAAGAGTTTCTTATGAGTCCTCACAATTTTGTTATGGGAAAAAAAGAGGGCACACCTTACATATGGATTTCAGAGAATTTGCTGTTTCTTTTCAAAGTGCAGCAGTTCTTTTTAGTGTAACTAATGCTTTTAGCCTAAATTGCGTATGATTGCTAATTCCTATTAATATTGCAAATAAAACTGTCATATACCGACTTCCGCATGTCCTGATGCTAAAAAGACCATAAACACCCCAACACAAACCACAACTAAAGAAAATTACAGTATTACTAAACCAAACCCAAAATTGCAGGATATGTGAGAAACTCTGATATTTGAATATCTGAGTAATATGCCATGGAACACAGACAACTTAGACAATGGTCAACTGATTCTAATTCAAGTTTCTTAAATGTTTCTGTTTTTTTTCAAAGACAGCTAAAATAAATTCAAGACCAAAGAAGATATGACAAATTCTGAAGTCTGTTATGAGTACTTTGGGCTGCGAAGCCTGAGGTGTATCACTAGCATTTGAGAACACAAAGTTGGCTGTGCTATAGGTTTAATCTGTTACACCTGTTTTCTTACTGACTTCAACAGTGAGTCTACAATTTATGAAATGGATTAATTGAAATATGTGTTAATGAGGAGCATTTTTAGTGAGTCTCAAATCTATTCTGCTTGCACTTATCCTTTTTATCTCTCTCTCAAATAACCTTCACAGGCAATGCCCTAATGAGTTCATTCTTAGTAACCCATTAATATATCTTGAAAACATTAATCTTCCAGCTCATTTTTCTGATATGGTAAATGATGGGATTTTGCAGTATATCTGGTACTGCGTACTACTTTGTAGTTAGGAATAGGTACACTGAATTTCCCATCTATACATATATCTCTGTTTGATGTATTCTAAACAAAGATATTATAAATGTAATACTGTGTGGTTTAATTTCTCTTCCACAATTTTTTTTCACAATTTTTGAATGCCTTTTGCTAGCTAGGTTGTATACTTTAACTGAGACATTCCCCATGACTCCAGTAGGACAATGTATACAAGGTACATTTGATTGGAATATAAGTCTTTAGGAGAGGGAGTTTGATGCTTCTGGGTTATTTGTGCTACTCATAAACAGAAGGAAAACTTATGAAATCACCAGACATTAATGGCAGCTGTCAACAGGCTAATGCTTTCCCATAAGATTTTTCAAATCAAAATAAACTCATATGATTGTTAGGTTTTTCAGCTTTTGCTTGGATTTGGTTATCTGGATTCCTGTATGTTATGGGCTGATCGTTAAGGTAATCCAGGCTCATGAGTTTTGGTTCCCCTCTGGACTGTGAAAGGCAGTCTTGCTAAATACAATATCCATAATTCAAGGATGGATTTTAACCTGTCTGGTTGTAATGTATTGATTTCTATATATTACTCTGACTCACTGTGAATTAATTTATGATATTTAATGTGGGCTGATAAATTACTGCTGAATTATAAGACTTCACAACTTGTTGGCCCACTACTAACACTGGATTTTTAATTTATTAGATTATCTTTGCATTAAGTACTATGTGTGTTTCAAAAGGTAATGCTCAGAATTTAGACCATGCATTTACTTATTTAGCAGCTTCTATAGTACATTTATCTGTGTGAAAAAAGGGTAAACTTAAGAAAGTGCAGTTGTTTTAGAACAACATGGTTTCATAGAAATTTATTTCAAATTAATTTTCCAAGGTACCTGTAGTAGAAAGACATTTTGCCAAAACTATTAAAAATGAGAATCACAGGGCTGTTTTAAATCCAATCCAGATTCTATTTCATTCTGTGCGATATTTCCATTAAATCTGATTAATGTCTAGAAATAAAAAACAATATTTCTTTTTTGTTTTCTTTTTGAATTTTTCTAGTAAACAGGGCATGTGTATACTTTTGAGTTTTCTTTTAAAGTTAGACTGATGGCTAAACTGGGACATCTTTGCAGTTTAGAACTACCCATGGCTCTCAGGAACAGAAAGGTTAAAGAATATGAAGAGAGCAAATCTTTTAAAGCAATGACTTGATAGTTATTTTGCATCACTTTGTGATCACTTTGTTAAATACACTATTATAAAAAAATAATGTATATACATGTACTGATATGAAGTATCAGGTGAATAAATGCAATACATAAAACAAGTACATCTGCATTTTTCCTAGCCTTGAGTTTTGTTCCTTCTTAGCAAAATCAGGAAGAGAAATAGACCTGTTCTTTCAAAAAATTAATGGATTAAGATATTGAAAACCCTGATTTTTGACTTAGGAATGTACAAACATTAATTTTAATTGTAGACAAAGAAAAATAAAATTGACATGTCATCTCTGGTAAATGCTAGACATTATTGACAGTAGTACTGCCAAAAGTTCTGTAGGATATTGTATAGTGGTTAATATGAAGATCTCATAAAGGATGGAGACAAGAGGCACTGAGCCTGCAGATTAAAGAATCATTTAATAACAATAAAAAGAGCTTGTCTAACTCATCTTGGTTATATTTTAAATGTATTTTATGTGTATTAGATTTATACTGATTGAAAACTCAGCACTTCTGTTATGTGGCTGAATAATTAGGCCTGATTATATTAACCTGAGCCCATAGATTTAAAAGATAAAGAAACACATTGCTACGTCTATGATACGCTTGCAGTATTGAACCAGCATAACTTGATTTGTCACTGAGGTGTCTGAATGTGTTGTAAATGACATGGATTGCCCTTGTAAGGTATTCATAGGCGCTGTTCAGTATTGAAAGTAAACATAGGTCTGCCAGACTGTCTGAGAGGAAAACAAATCTCTGGAATAGCCTTGGTGGTTATAAAGTAGAAAATGTGACAGTAGAATAAACCTGAATAACAAATTTTGTAAGAAATCCTAAAATGACAATTAAACAGCATTATGCAGAATTGTAAACACGAGAGGTAGGTCAGTATCATAATATCCTGTTTAGAAAAGCACAAATAGTCTATCAGTTATACAGTTGATTATTGTACTCATTCATCTGGGGTTTGCTGAGGCACTGGAAATGTAGTTAAATATTGAAGATTTGTTATTGTTTATACTATATTGTAAAATCTATTGATTATCCATGTGCAGCGGGTTTATTCTTTCAACTACTGTTTGTGCTCTTGGTTATAGGATACTGCAGCCGTGGATTGAGACAGACATTTTAGATGTTTTTATCTAGGTTTTCATCTAGGAAAAGTAGTAATTAAAAAAAAGGGTCATAAAAACCTTATTAATGTAATTCTGTAGGAATTATTGAAACATCACTATTTTACTAATATTACCTAATAATTTTCATCTAAAGCATTGGTAAAATTTGTGTAAAGGACTGAATTTACAGTTACAAAAATAGCTATTTTCATATAAACCTTTAATATTCTTCACACTCTATTATTTAAGCCATCTAAACCAAGAATCAGTTTGACTTAAATTTTTGTCCTTGCTATTCTGGGCTGCTGCATCCAAGGAGATGCCTTTTTTTAGGCTGTATTTAATATAACCTGCAAAGAAAACATATGGATTATTAATTGTGTCTAAACATTATTTGTAAAGTGTTTCCATATATACAAAAGACAGTTGTCATAATTTGTGAGAAGTTTGTCTCTTCAAAAATTCTAATGCAAAAATTCATTTGGGATAAATGTAAGTTGTCCTAATGTAACTGTTTTAAGTTCTTATTACTCTAATTTCTTATTTTTTAACCCTTAAAAATAATGATTGATTGATTGATTGATTTATTAATTACAGAAACCTTTGAAATGCTTATCAGACTGGCTGAGAATTACACAAGCGCACTTTTCTGCACTGCATATAGAAACATGGCTGCTGAGGCTACTGTGCATGTTCAGGAGTTTTTCACTGATGTTGGACTCTTCGTGTTTGGCACAGACATTAGCACAGAGAAATTTGTCAATAGATTTTTTGACACTCTGTTTCCAGTAGTCTACAACCACGTGATTAACCCCGGTCTGACTGACATTTCAGTGGAATATGCAGAGTGCCTCCGAATGGCGAGAAGAGACATCAGGCCCTTTGGCAACATTCCCAAAAAGGCCATGGGACAAATGGGAAGATCACTCTTATCCAGCCGGACTTTCTTGCAGGCTCTGAATTTGGGGATTGAAGTGATCAATACGACAGATCACCTGCATTTCTCCAAAGACTGCAGCAGAGCTTTACTGAGAATGCGGTACTGCCCCCACTGCCAGGGAGTGATGTTGAGCAAGCCCTGCATGGGCTACTGCCTCAACATCATCCGGGGCTGCTTAGCCAGCATAGCAGAAATTGATCTTCATTGGCGGGGATATGTTCGGTCCCTGGAGGAGCTCTCAAGCGCCATGAGTGGAACACACGACATTGAGCACGTGCTTCTCAACTTTCATTCACTTGTTAATGATGCTCTGGTACAGGCTCATATCCATGGGCCAGAGTTATCTGAGCAGGTAAGAAGGTGGTTTATATACACTCAGTGACAATAGGAAAAGTATGACTGATAATTCTTTCTTGTTTGGCCATTTTTATGGTGAGGAACACGTTTGAGTTCAGCTTCATTTGACAATGCGATTTTTAGGAGCACAAAAAGTGTTTTTCAGGAACATAAGAAAAATTCTTAATCACTTCGTTGCTATCCTGTGTGCACATAATGATAAATTTAAGCAATCCTTATTTTAGCTACTATTGGCCTGCCTTAGAGAACCTGTAACTTTGCATATATTATTTCCATAATTTTTAGGTTTCAGAGGAAGTAGCACAGTTCATTTGTAACATAAACTGAGTGCTTCCTTACATATACTTGAGAGAAAAAGTGAGTTATGTGAGAGCTCTGTTAGCTGTGAATGCATGAAGTGAAGAATTTTAAGATACCGTTAGGGAAAGTGTGCACTACTTAGCTACACATTAGGAAAAACCCTAGTATATCTGCTAATTTATAAAGGTTAAGTAAGTACCAAAATTTGAATTTTTCATGTATTATTTTTAATCTATATTATGTTTTGTAATTGTATTTTTCTCTGTATTCTTACATTCAGACTTCACTGACAGTGACATATTCTATGTTAAATGCTGGATCGGATTACTTGGTTTGGGGAGATGTCTTTAGTTTCACGGTACACACTGGTCTGAAGAGGGTGTCTGGGTGTCCCTGTGGTGTGGCATTAGCTGAGGTGCAGTAATACTTCTAGGACTGCCCTAGCCTGCCTCAGTACGTGACTAGCTGAGATTGAAGCAGTTTCTTCTGCTAAGCAGCTGACAGGATCTCTGACAGTAAACAACTTGACCTAATACAATAAATAAAGCATTTTTCATTTCTTACTAAGACTCAGAGTCTATTAAAACTGATTCTTCATCCTGCTTAGTCACTGAGTAACTGGAAAATTGCTCAGTCTGTGAATTTCCCATTTTAACTGCTTTATACCAGCCAGCTACATGAACTATAATATCCTGCTGCTGAACTTCTTGAGAAAAACTGTCTTTTTTTTTTTTGGAAAAGGTTTTTCACTAACAGTTTGACTCAAAAATGGCTCACTGATGTCTGTCTAATTCAAGTTATTTCAGAGCTACAGTTGCCTTTCAGGGATATACCCTGTTGCTCCTTTGATTTCTGTGGGATCTTTTTTGCCTATAATTTTCAGGAAGAAGCTAGAACAAGCAAGTAAAGGCTCAAGGAAAGGACTTGTGTTTCCTATTTCATCCTGGGTAATTTAATTTGAAAAGTTTTAGACTTGGATTTTCAGCAGTGAATTGTCATGGACCCAGACTTAAAAGTCTCTCAGCACACTCATGTTTTCAAAATGAAAGTTTTTACACTCCAAAATAGTGTATTTCACTGAATTTTAGTAAAAAAATTAAATGGGTGAAGAGCCCTCCACCTAGTGTTTTGGTTTAATGAAAATTTCATATTGATCCAAAATAAAATGCTTTTGTTACTCCTGAAAACTCTATGCCTCTCTTCTCTCCTTTCTTCATACAATGTACAGAATACTAAAATTTCTTATGTAATGATATTTGTTACCAATGTGTTTGTTTGAAGATCATGTGTTTACTTCTGTTAAGATCGTCTGATATAGAATAACTTCCAAAATTTCTACCCTAAATTCTTCATTTTTCACTCAAGCTGCATCAGACCTAAACATCTCTTTCAGTTAATTTCTGTTTTAATTTAATCAATTCTTTCTTTGATCTTTAATTTGACCAAATAAGACTATGATGCAATGATCCCTTGAAAAATGGTGATCTAATTAGTCAGTATATTTCATATTTCATATTTTCCCATTTATTAGGTATCAAGACAATTCTGACATGTAATAAATACAGTTTTTCAGCTTTAAGATGCAGAGGACATTAATTCCATTGAAATTGGCTCATTAATATTTATTTCTTTTATCTTTGAAATGACTCGTGAACTGTTTCAAGTTTTGATAAGCAATTAATGCATCAGTGATTTTAACAGTAAGGGAAAAGATGATTATGAGCAAGCAAGTAATGGCTTGCTTAAGCACGTAGCAGTCTCTGCAGTTTTAAAAGTGAATTTTGTTATATTTTGTGACTTTTAAGGAAGCAAACAGAGAAAAAAATGTTTAAATGTTTGGAAGTATCATATATACATATGCAAGTGTTAATATGAGAATCTACAGAATATCCTGCTTAGTGATACATGTAGTTGTAGGGTTTTTTCTGTTCATGTGTATGTTTGTGTAAATTACCATATGTAAAGGAATTTTTCTAACATGTTGCATGAATATTTGAATCTGATGTATATTTATACTTTAAACTCTGTGTGATGTGGAAAGACCACTAATGCCAGTATAACATGGCTTCCTTTTCTGGTAATTTGCAGCTTGTTCCCTTTTCTACTTGGGTCAGCAGAGCAATGCCATGCTGTCTGTAGATGGAATTTGTCTTTTCCTTCGTTCTTCCTGTTTCAAATTCACATTTAATTCCTACCTCCCACAGCTCTGCTGACTGACAAATAAGTGCAGCACTTGTTCATCATCTCGATACCTGGGCATTATTTTATGCTATTCTGCAGAGTCTAGTGGGAAGTGTGGGTTGTGCAACTATTCACATATATATGTATTTTCACACATTCGCATTGATATATATTTAATGACACTTCTGTTCATGAAGTCTATATATGTCCATTTACCTACTGGTATTGCTCAGTGCATAGTGGACCCTATGCTTTTTAGCTGGTAGGAGTTGGAACAAACTCCTTTTTTTTTAGCAAACATCTGCATGTATGTTCCTGCAGATATAATGTAATATAGGTTTAAGAGAGCTGCATAATACAAAGCAAGAACAGGAAGCATTATTAAGACAGCCTGAGAAAGATGGTATGTAATTCTTAAGAATTGGGTAACAGCTAAAGGTACCTGTTGTTACAGAGCACCTTGCAGATTCATCCTGTTCTTTTGTGCTGGTCTCTGAGCTTGTGTTTAGTCAAGGAGATTCCCATGAAGGGCACTGTACAGCTGGAATGAATGCACAAGAACTTTATAACACATTTAAGCCTTGTATAAATGTTAAAAAAAAAAAGCACACAAAAACCGCCAAAAAACCAAAACCCCACAGACAAAATAACCCCAAAACAACAACAAAAAACCCCTCCCAAACCAAAAATCCCATGGAAATTTGTTTACAAGTTGTAATAAATTGTTTCATGTTACCTCTGTACTGTTATTCAGCCACTGTCAATGTTCAGACAGAAGGACAAAGAGATTTTAGCAAGATTTACAAAGTTTTGGTATGGAAGGAGCCTACTATTCTCAGCATAAGAGTGTTTCCATTCTCTTTATGCATAGATTAATGGCACTGTCCCATGCCATGGAAGGGCAAGTTTCTGTGTCACTCACAGTGTAGTTCAGCAGCAACTTAAACCAGTCTTACTCTGGATTGCCCAAGTCCTGCTCTGGCAGGAGCAGCTCAGCTTTATGTTTCCACCCCTTTCCCTGTGTACACACTGCTCTGACAGCTGAGAGTCAAGCTGGTTGAAGGAGCTGTCTGTGCTCTGAGCCGTAGTTCTGTTTTTGTGTTTGAAGACGTGTGCTGCCACACTTTGGGTAACACGGCAACTGAGGTTCATTGGAGTGGAACAAACACAGGACCTGAGAGGAGGTGAGATGAGTCTGATATCAGGCAAGAGTTGAAAGGAGAGGGGAAAGGAAAAGGAGAGAAGAGAAAATTCACAAGGCTTTATAATTAAGTCTTTTCTCCAAACTTTACATGAAACTGTTGTTTGTGATTCCCAAAAGATCAATGGTTACTGAGTTTAATGTTGAATAAAAGAGATTCAGAGGAATATTGATTAGTCGTTCATTGGCTATTCTGGGCACTGATGATTTTGGGATCTGAAGGAAAATGAAGTATGTGACCACGATATTAAAGGCGATGAGCTATATATGCATATAAAAATTGGGAATCAGAAACGCAACATAAAAAAATAAAAAAAACCCACACTCAGAAATTCTGGCATTTCCTCATCTTGAAAGTGAGGAATTTGTGCTACAGGTTTGGTAAAATTCTTGTATGCACTTCTGTGTGTAATATAAACCTACAAAAATTCAGAATGGGATTTTCAAAAGCTTTATGTCTTCACTGTGTTCTAAGTTTTCCAAACAGTTCCAGATAACAAAAATATCAAAATTATGAAAGTTCTCAAGTCCTTTCATCTCAGTTTAATACTGAAAGAAAATCTTAAGTTATGTGTCTTCTAAAAAATAGGCATAATTGTATTGTATTAAAAGAGACTTTTTTTTTAATCAGCTGTTTAGTACTGTAAAGAAAACAACATCTTTCTTCTGTCATAGAATGCTAGCAGGAAGAATTTAATAGACTATATTTAGGGCTGTATTTTCTTACTGGTTATTTTTGCTTGAAATGACTAGCTGTAAACAGTCAGAACTGCTGTAATATAGTGATGGTTTAGATTTAAAATTCCCATGAAAGGAACATTCACAAGCATTATAAATATAATATTTATGGGATTTTTTCTATTCCTTCTATGATCTGTTTTATGTAGCTACTTTTATTAGGGTCTCTCCAGTGAAAAGCCACACAGCCTTATTGCATTCCAAAAAATGAAGTTCTGTAGAAGTGCACTAAACAAATTAATATTTTAGGTTTGAAAAAGGATTGGAAAGATGGTGATGAAAAGACAGCTTTTGGTAATCCCAAATATGTACAAAACATACAACTGCAAGCTATATTATAACTGCAGTTTTATTTTTGGAAAACTATAAGCTTGATTGTGAACAAAAAACCAGATTAACAGCATTTCTAATTGTGGGAAGTGCTGTGCCTGGATATGTGGTAACTTTCATAGCTTTACAGGTTAAAGCACTTAGGGAGATGCAAGAAATGAGGATCTTTTGAACCAGCTATCCTGTGAACCCACTTCCTTCGTAGCTAAAATCTATTACTTAGATGATTATATGCCTATAAATAC